ATCCTACGGCCGGTGGAAGACAGACAAGATCACGGCAGCCGAGCGGAGGAATCGTGGCCGTCCGATGAACCTTCTCAGGAAACACTGTGGATTCAATTAACGGAATCGAAAGTTTGAACGGAGATACCCGTTGGGGCCACGAGAGCCGCCCACACGACATCCTACGGTCAGCATTCGCTAGCCGTTGGCTTCAAACGGGAGGATGCTACCCACCCTTTCTTCGTGTACCAAAAAAACTCTTCCTTTTTTTCCCTTTCTTTTTGAATTTTTCTTTACCTTCCTCTTTCTCTCTCCCAAATCCCGAAGAGAGGAGAGAGGGAGAGCGTTAAATTCCCGTCGATTTCCTCGGTCGATGGGGTTAAGGTGGTAGCTTGATTCCTTCCCTCACCTTCCGATCGGGATTCCGGGATCTCGGGGGGCGGTGGAGTCCGGTTCTGCTCGATCGGGCGAGGCGACGAGGAGGTAGGTGTCTCTGCAGGTCTCGTTCGGTTCGTTGGTTCTCGGCGTTCCGATCGGACCTTTGCAGTGAGATAATGATTTGATGCGTCGATTCATAAATCTTCGAACTTTCGTTGACTTTCTTCGTTTGAAGGTGAGGGGAAATGGATAGAATCGGCGAGAACGACTGTGGCGTGACGAAACCTGAAGGTGTCCGAGGTTTGGATCTTTTGTTTCAAGAATTCTGTGTTAGAATTTATAATCCCAGCTGAAGAGCACCAAATTAATTCTCTCTTTTGTCATCGATGCAGTGACGGGCAATCGAAGAGCGTTGAGAGACATAAAGAACTTGGTGGGAGCGCCGTTGCACCCCTGTGCGGTCACTAAGAGAGCATCGACGGAGTAATGCCTGGAAACCTAATCCTGTCTTTTGGTTGCTTGTTCCTTCTGCTCGATCTAATTTCTTTTCGTTGATTTGGTTTTCCTCATAAGTAGCAAGAGCAATTTAGGTCATAAGAACCCAACATTTGTTCCCCGACGGCCAAGAACGAGGTGAGCGTCAACAAAGCTTCTTTTCTTTTAGCTTGGAGTTCCTTACCGACTTCTAACTGGTCGAAGGATCGGGTTTCTTTAGGAAATTTGCAGCTACATTGGCAAACAAATCACAAGCCGATGGACATCATGAACACATTGGGAATGAGAGGAAGCATGACCCACAAATACCATCTTTGCTGAGTTCGAGTTCTTTAGATACTTGTACTGCAACAGATACGAATGAGCACGGATTAAGTGAGGAGCTGCCAATGCCAATGGCAGAGGAGACGGAGGAAATGGTCTGCTCCCTTTATTTTCCCTGGAAGAATTTGAATTTTCTGTGATTGGTAGTAGTTATAAATTATTGATGAGTCACTCTGGTTGCAATCTGTAGGACATCTCTGATCCAGAGGAGGTTGAAATGGAGAATCTTGCAGTGGAGATGATCCCGGATATCGACAGCTGCGATTCCAAGGATCCACTAGCAGCTGTTGATTATGTAGAAGATATATACAGCTTCTATAGACAAATTGAGGTAGGCCTTGCAGTTTCCGATGTTGCTATATCAACATCTTTAGGTTTGATTGCTTTCTACATTTTTTGATCTACACATACATAACATGTTAGTGAAGCCAGTTTAGAGCGTAATCTTGTGCATGAGGAAGAAACTAGGCTTAGAATTGAATCAACTATGATTTAAGTGTTCATTTGATTTGTTCAGTGTGATGCAAAACATCCGAACTTCTCTTTTTCCCTCTTTAGTGCTAATCTGTTAATCTATGTTGTTCTATATTTTGGCCAAGTAGTTATAGAAAACCCATTTTTAAGGTTCACTTCATTCTACATTTCTTGTTTCGCTATGAATCCACACATTTTAACATGTTTATGAAGTTTATATGTAGCGAATTAAGTTCATGATAGCATTGGCATCAAATTACTTGTTCACTTGATCTGTTCTATGTCATGTAAACCTCTGAACTCTTCTTTTTTTCATAAGGATTAATCTTTTGGTCTACTTTGTTCTGCATTCAAACAAATCAATAGTGTTGATTGTTGACTCCAAACACAACCAACGCATGATTGCAGGTCACAAGTTGTGTCGGTCCTGATTACATGTCCAACCAGTTTGACATCAATGAGAAAATGCGTGCTATCCTCATTGACTGGTTGATTGAGGTAGGCACTAAATATGATAAAGTGACACTTGACATTTGAAACCATTGTCTTCCATTTTCCTCTTTTACAAACTTATTATTTTAAATCTTTCCTCCGCAGGTGCACTATAAGTTTGAATTAATGGACGAGACGCTTTTTCTGACCATAAACATTATAGATAGGTTCTTAGAACGGCAGACAGTATTAAGGAAGAAGCTTCAGCTGGTTGGAGTTACAGCAATGCTTCTTGCTTGCAAGTACGAAGAAGTCTCTGTTCCGGTTGTTGAGGATTTAATTCTAATCTCTGACAGAGCCTACACGAGGAATGAAGTTCTTGCAATGGTAATAGTCTTTGATTCTTCTGGTGATTCTGTCAAATTTCCTAACTTATCCTTGGGTCTTTGAATGATGATTCCTTGCCCTATGTTTTGCTTCTTAAGCGTAAAATTATCGTCTTTGTTTCTTAGTGGTTGCTCTATCTCAAGCTTTCTTATCTATTGGTGTGAGCAGGAAAAGTTGATCCTAAAAACCTTACAGTTCAACATGTCCGTGCCAACTCCTTATGTCTTCATGAGAAGGTTTCTCAAGGCAGCTCAATCTGATATACAGGTAAGACTGTCTTTCCCTTGATATCAAACAAGAAAAATCAATCTCTAGAAGCAAAAGTTCTGATGGAGAAATCGCTTGCCTGTGATGTGGATCAGCTAGAGCTTCTTTCTTTTTTCATCATGGAGCTTTGTCTGGTCGAGTACAAAATGCTCAAGTTCCGCCCTTCGTTGCTGGCTGCTGCTGCAATTTATACTGCACAGTGCACGCTCAAAGGGTTCAAGCATTGGAACAAAACTTGCGAACTACACACTGCCTATCCAGAGGACCGGCTTCTGTGAGTTTTACTCTACTGCTTTTTCTCTTTCATTTTCTTTCAATCAAATCCTGTTCTTTATGTTGATTCCATACCTACCACAGTGAGTGCTCCATGCTGATGGTGGGCTTCCACCTCAAAGCTGGAACCGGGAAGCTAACCGGGGTGCACAGGAAATACAGTACTTTCAAGTATGGATGTGCAGCAAAATCAGAACCAGCTCTCTTTTTACTGAATGCTGGTCTCTGATGCCCATGGACAAACAAGGATGGTGGTAACTTGACCCAACTGGATAAATTTCTCACTCTAACATGGCACCGGCAGATGCATGGACTTGTCAAGTGTAGCAAAGTTGTGGGATGAAGCAACAGAAGTTGCAAGTTAGACTCAACTGTTTCTGTTGATCTGCATATATTTTATGATTCTAAATTTGAGAGTTACACCAGCTGATAACTTGTTTTGACTACTTGTCATGCTTCCAAATGTAATGTTAAATTTGCTAAATAAGTTTAGCCTTTGAATTCAAATTGGCTGGAAATTCTTTGTAAGTTGCACATCAAAACAGTTGATATAAGATGGTGATGCTGAATTAGTTTGTGAGACTTCCAATTGTGAGCCTAATATAGCTTTGATTTTGCTGATGATGTAAAGAAGAATCACCTCAATTCCATTTCCTTTTTCAACCGTGTCAATTTACGTTCGGTAAATGAACTCGATGTATCTTGATATTATCGTCGTCAATTACCAACATAATATAAAATTATGATACAATTTGATGAGATATTTTGCTCATTAATGTTTTTTTACTACAGATTATTGACTCAAAATTTTTAAATTCAAAATGACAAAATGACCATGAGCTTAAACAAGTATTATAGCTACCATTATGGATGTGCCTATTTACTTGACCTTAAGCAATAATTCAAATATTTAACTCACCAAACGTCGATTTAAGACTTTACGACAAAAATAAACTCGAGTTGATATAAGACTTTGTAGAGATATTTTGCTCATTAATGTTTTTTTATGGATGTACCTATTTACTTGACCTTAAGCAATAATTCAAATATTTAATTCAAGTTAATGGTAGCAGAGTCATCAAACATTGATTTAAGACTTTACAACAAGACAAAAATAACTCGATGATGTTATAGTTAGAATCATCAAAACTTTATAGCACCTCAAAAGAAATAAAAATGACAAAATAAAGATGGAGCAAGGCTGTTCATGAAGGTCTTTATTTCACCAAGCATTTTGAAAGAGATTGATCTTTCGTGATACTATTAATCTCATTTGATAAGTTCATTTAGTTTTACATTAATTAAAGAGTATGGGGACGCTCATAAATCTGGTCTCTTTTATACTTAGAAATGTTTTTTAAAATTCACATGTTTCGAAAGGATAAAATCGTGATAGTACATCCATCGTCCAAAATAAATAATTTTTCATGAGCCTATGGGTCACACCGATCGATCAAATGGTCTCTTAGTATTTTAAAATAAATTTTCTTTAGACCGTTGGATAATATTTCTAATTTTTATATTTCTATATGTCATCAGTGTGCCATCCATATAGACAAGAAAAAGACAATAATCACTAAACAACTCTTGATTGAAGCGACGTATTAGGCTACGTTTCCGACCTGACACCTTCTGAGAATTTAGAGAACAGCAAAGAAATGGTAGACGATTCTGATAATTTTCCAGATTATGGTGTCATTGTCTTCACCCAAGTCATAAGAATGGCTCCGTTAGTCTTCCCAACCGCTGTGGTCTTCCAGCAGCGTACGCAATCGTTCGAGTAAGCGACGCTGTCAGAGGAGAAACCGATGCATGATGCAGACGATTCGCTCTTTTGCCTTTTGTCTTCTACTACTCGGAAAGAATCGACGCCAAACACGACACTTTCGTTGGCGTCAGCGCAATTGCCTCTCACCTTGAAAGTGCTGTCGAGTTCTCTGTTTTCTACCATCTGCGCCAGCAGTTGATAATTCTGCTTCTTGATCTCTTTTCACGGCGGTTCACTTGTCGTGGTAAGAACCAGCCACATCCCCAGGCTCGTTATCTCTTGCGCTGCGTGCCACCACCAGTGGTGCCGATGGCTCTACCTTAAAGTACGCTCCTTTGACTCGTTTTGTGCAGGGGCGAAAGCATGGCAGCAGCAGTAAGGGAGCTTTTGCTTAGCTTCTCTTCTGCTGCTCTTCTTCTGCTGCTACTGTTCCTGGCGCAGCAGCCTCTCGTGTCATCTCTCAACGTCATCACCCATCTTCCGGGGTTCGAGGGGCCTCTTCCGTTCCATCTGGAAACAGGGTAAACTCTTCCTCTTCCTCCTCCTCTGTGTTCCTTTGTTTTCCTTCTCCTATGAATTATCCTTTGCTTTAGATGAATCTATATGGGTTATTATTCTGAAGATTAAACTTAGAAAAGCCAGCCGTAGAGAATCTTTTCACCAAATAGTCTTATTCTAAGATTATGCTTAATTAGTAGTTTGTGCATTTCAAAGTGTTAGCTATTTTACCTTCGTCACCAACCCATTTATATATAATTATCAATAATATTTTTTAATTAAAATTCAATGATATTATATTTAAATAAATATGCAAAACAATTAAACCAGTGAGTGGGAGTTTGTTTGGAATCCAATAACTCCAATCGATAACGGGGGTAGAAGCCGTCCCCGTCCACAGGTCCATTTTTGTGGATCGTAAAGGCCTCAATCGAGCATCTTAGAACGCGATGCAAGCAAAAGGTTAGGAGTTTTTGTCTGACGTATGTGCAGCGACGAGGACCCAAAGCGAATGGCGATGACGATACCACGTTTAGCGGCGATGTGCTCGTAGACACTCGATATGACAACACAGCACTGCCACTCCTTCGATCGCGGCACGGTTGGTTCCAAATCAATTCTACCTGCTTTTGATTCTGAAATTGAATTTATCAGTTTAATTTTGGTTTTGATTTTGATTTGATCTACTAATTTCAGTCGATAAAACAAAATAAAATTCTTTACAAAGATTCAAGTCAATAAACTTTAAATTTAGAATATTAATTATTATATAATGAAACATATTTATGTTTATTTTTTATTTTTTATATTTAATTATTTTAAAACTAGAACAAATTCATATGACTCTGGTTCTAGTGCTTTATAGAAAACAAGAAAATTCTCATTCGTGTTTTACAATATGTGTAGCCCATCCTATTAAACATAGGAGGACGAGTGATCGAATCACCCTCTTGATTGTCGACAAAAGTTATTAATCTCTCTTGGGTGTTAAACCAATCGAGAGAACTTGACTCTGATATCAAAATGTCATGAGTACAACGACACTAAGAGAGGGGGGATGAATTAGTACTTTCGAAATATTATGATTTGAAAATTTGTTCGATGAAAACTAATAATGAAATTGTGCTTGACTTAGAGTATGAGCAAGTGTGATAAGCAATTAAATCAGAAAGCAATAGTAACAAAGAGTATAATAGAAAATACACATTGAATTTATAATAGTTCAGTCGTTATGGAATATTATTGAATATGGTTTTCAGAAATCCTCTAGACCAATAAATGATCGAATGATCTAGAGAAAAAATTAATTTCTTTAAATGCAAAAGCTATGATGCTTTATTTTGTGCTTTAGATAAAAATAAGTTTAATTGTATTTCGACTTATAAAACTACACATGATATATGGCCACTTCGAATCAAAGAAGACCACTCGAGCGAAAGCTCAAGTGATGATGACATAATACTTTTGATAAGAAAAATTAAAAAGTTCATGAAAAAGAACAAGACTAATTTTAAAAGTTAAGAATCTAAAATTGAACTTAAAAATGATACAATCATTTGCGAATGTAAGAAACGAGGTACTTCAAAGTGACTTGGGACAATGAAGAGCAAATCAATGAAGATAAGGTGGCTAATTACGCCTTGATGGCTCTCAACGAAGAGGTATATGACTCAATCGAAGTCCATTTATTTTATGATAAATTACTTGAAGCATTCAATAATTTATATGATGAATTTTAAGTTAATTGGTAATAAATATAAATTGCTAAAAAAGGAATATATTTTTCTCTCTAGTAAATTTGATAAATTAAAAAATGAATATGACAATTGATTGTTAACTTCTTGCACTAAATATGAAGAGTTAGATTCATAAAAAAAAAGAAAAATTTATTATTACAACAAATATTAGAAAAAAATTAAACTTGGTAGTAAATCATTAATCATGATTCTTGCTTATAAAAGTCATGTATGGAAGGAATTAGCTTTGTGAGTAACACTCAATAAAAGTAAACTATATTTGTTAAAAGACCTATATTACATGTTTATCCTAAAAATAAATGTGGACAATATGCTTAAAAATATTTATTTAAAACATATAGCTCTTATAAATTAGTTTAGGTTCCTAAAGGAACCATAAATGATTTTAGACAATTGTTAAGATAGAAAGATAATAACCCAAAGTTAAATGTGTACCTAGAATAAACCCATTTTTCTTGTAGATATTTCTATAATTGAAAGCTATGAGCAAAAGATAAAATCTTGATAGTAAAAGCTGAAGGTATATGACTGCAGATTCAAAATACTTCATAAAACTCACTAGTCGTAACAATAATAATAAAGAAAAGATCATTAGAATTAGAATTATTGATGTTTTATTTTTTAGTGTGTATACTATTGATCTTTGTTATGTGATAAAACTTATTTTTTATTTTTAAACGACGATACATGGCTTTGGCATAAAAGATTAGGACATGCTAATACGAAATTAATCACATAAATGGAAACTAAAAAAAGAATATATTTTTGTTGAAAATTTCTCTATCTCTAAAGATTATCGAGTTTTCAATAAGAAATTGATGAATCTATATATATGTTATTTTATAAATCTCTTAAACAGATAAAGTTATTTTGATATTTTGATAAATAGAATTTGAATGAGATTTATCATGTATAAATTTAGAATTTTTACTATTTGGTCTCCTTTGTTTCTTTTACTAAAGAAAAGAATTATCCAAATAAATCATAATTTTTTTTAATTTTTTAGAATTATAACTTTATAATTTTTTATTTTGTGAATCCATCCAATTGTTGATCTGATTCAATTCTAATTTCAAACCTGTTCGGTTTCGATTTGAGGTGAACCGAAGTCACCCCTACCACCTAATCCTTTAATTCAACACATCATGCAAACAAACTTGCTCCCCCTTTTGTACCTCTCCACCACCATGGGAGGTGTTCTTGGGGATGATGATGATGATGACGACGATGATGACGTAGTAGTAACAGCAGCGCTGGTTTATGTATATTTGTATTCTTTTAGATGAGAGCTGATGTGGTGTGTTTGCTCAGCTACGTGGACGTGGATGAAGCCAATGGCGTGCAGCTGTTCTACTACTTCATCATGTCTGAAAGGAAGCCGGCGGATGACCCTCTCATGGTGTGGATAACCGGCGGCCCTGGCTGCTCAGCTTTCTCCGGGTTAATGTTCGAGATAGGTAATGATGCCTGCACCAATCTCGTGGTCACCATGAGCCACGGCCTGATCCAGATGTCTTGCCTGTTAAACCCTATAAATGTTGAGGATGGAAACGCGAAAAAGATATTAACATGTCATGATCAAGACAGAAAGCGTTTTGACTGGCAATAAACGACAATTATGTCTATCAATTTGCAGGATTTTTATGATAAGGATTAAGAAGGAAAGAAAAAGGAACAACAAGAACAGAATCTATGCATTCTTTTAGATGTTTATTTTGGTTTGGCAGGTCCTCTACAGTTTGATGTAGCTGGGTACACCGATGGTCTTCTTCCTTCTTTGATCTACAATCCAATCTCCTGGACAAAGGTGTATATCTCTTGCTGTTGCATTTAGTCTTCTTCTTCTTCTTCACTGTCAGCTGGCTTTGACATGGTTTTAGTGGACCCTCAGGTGTCAAGCATCATCTTTCTGGATTCACCAGTTGGGACTGGATTCTCCTATTCAGACACCGAACAAGGCTTACGTATCACTGATACCAAGTCTGCCATTCATGTCTGCACATTTCTTAAGAAGGTGGATACTACTACTCCAAGTCATGTCTTTTCTCCATTTCATCAAACCAGTGAGAGATAAAAGGGAGAATTAAGCTAACATTTGCGTGCAGTGGTATGTTGATCACCCATCATTCATCAAAAATCCTCTTTACATTGGTGGAGATTCCTATTCTGGCCTCCTTGTGCCAGTCATTGCTCAATATATTTCAGATGGTAAACCACTACACTTGTTTTGTTTGCATCCTGTTAATGCATTTATGAACTGGAACAAAAGCTCATCCATCCATGCCGCAGGAAATGAAGCTGGAGATGGGTTGCACTTCAATCTCAAGGTCTAGAGCTTCCTAGCAAAGCTCTGTCTTCTTACATGAGCATTATTCTGAGATTGATTGCTCATGGTTTCAGGGATACCTTGTTGGCAACCCTTCTACAGATGGAGAGTATGATGGGAATGCAATAATCCCTTATGTTCATGGGATGGGTCTAATTTCCGATGAGCTTTATGAGGTGATTAATTTGTCTTAATCTTCTCCATTAATCTGAAGAAAATTATGACAGATACAGAAACACGAACTAGTGATAAGTTGATGATTAAGTCCAGCAATCACCACAGTAAGCAATCGCTATATTAATGCATCTTATGTTCTTCCAGCTTACCAACATATCACAATGTGTGACACAGATCAATTCCTCTGAAGAACCTTTCATGTTGTATGCATTATACGTAAAGACTCATCTCTCGAGCATTGATCTGGTCTGGTTTGGTTTCTCTTAGGCAACAAAGAGGAGTTGTGGAGAGCAGTATCAGAGTCCTAGAAATGCAGAGTGTGCGAGTTGCCTACAAGCTGTGAACCAGGTGAGGATGCAGTATGCCTTTTGATCACGCTACTCGACCAAGAACAATCTCTCATGGCGATGCAAATTCGCAGGGTCTCTTTGGCATCAACAATGTCCATATCCTGGAGCCTCTGTGCTTCTTCGCGAGCCCCAAACGAAACATACTGACTGCGGACAGAAGAAAATTGCTTGAAGAACACCTCGAGCAGCCCTTGTCAAAGTCTGACCTCCCTTTGCAGTGTAGGGTAAACCCTTTCCTCTTTCTCAAACCTAAACTACATTTCAGAAAGCTTCTCCTGGAGAAGAAGAATGCTTATGTCATCATTGGTGAACCTTCTTCTCAGAGTTCTGGATATGTGCTCTCCTACTTCTGGGCCAACAATGACACCGTGAGAGAAGCGCTTGGCGTTCGCGAGGTATGTGTGAGATCAAGAGGAAGTTCCAATAGGAACATGGCTGAATTCTAAAGGTTTTCATTGCCGATGGCAAGCAGGGAACCAAGCAAATGTGGGTGAGGTGCAACTACGGCATCAACTACACGAACGATGTGTCGAGTTCTCTGAAGTATCATCTCTCCCTCACCAGCAGAGGATACAGAGCTCTGGCATACAGGTGAAGCCCTTGCCGCTGTTGGCATCATGCATGGTTTATGAGAGGCATTTACTCTTCTTCTGGCACGCAGCGGCGACCATGACATGAGCGTGCCATTCGTGGGGACACAGGCGTGGATCAGATCTCTCAACTTCTCCATCGTGGACGATTGGCGATCGTGGTTTGTGGATGGCCAAGTCGCAGGGTGAGCCTCTCCAGTCACAGAAATCTTTAGCTTCAGTCGCATCATCTTGCTCACGAGGTTGCTGTCATCTCAGATTCACGAGGACTTACTCCAATAACCTCACTTTTGTGACCATCAAAGTAAGTTCGTTCCGGCGGATTTTGCTTGATCAGTATGAACTCTCTCCTTAACCTTTTCGATCTCGTTCCGTAGGGTGGTGGTCACACAGCTCCAGAGTACAAGCCGAAGGAATGCTTAGCCATGGTCGACCGGTGGTTTGCTGGTTCCCCACTCTGATATCGTCGTCACCTTCAACCTGTTTCTTGACGGCTATCACGAGTTGATACAGAGCTTGATTCCCAGCAAGAACAGAGATTGTGGCTATGACATTATGAGCTGACTTATACGTCTAAATAAGTGATTAAATAAAGAGAATATTCATGAATTATTCTTCGGTGATTAAGCATTGCCGAAACAAAAATTCTCATTGAAGGAAATATATACCATGATGTCTCAGTCACCCAACAGACTTATGAACTATTGATTTCTCTATTCCTCAATCAACTAAATATCCTTAGTATTCAAATCGAATCGATTGATTTGATTTAGTTAATTGGTTAACTGATTTATAATTTTAAATTTATATTTTTTAAAATGAATCCATTCGATTGTCGAATTGGATTCACATAGTAAGACTTATAAAACTAGGATTATGCCATTTATGAAATTATAATATTGAAATTGGATCAACATAGTATCTTTGGGTTAGTTTGATTAATCGTAAAAAAGTGAACTCGATTAAATTGATATTTTTAAATTAAAATTAATTTGATTTGATCTTAAATGATTAATTGACTCGAGTATTCTTTCTGATAAAACATATTCTGGTACAACCCCTGCGGCAACATTCAATAGTCATGTTAATGCCATCGTGGAGCCTTAGGGTTGATATGGTGAATTACGTTGATGTGACATCTCGGACTCAAATAGGATGGTTGTCTGTTCCCGCGCTATCCGAGACCATACAACACGATGCCGCATAGCACAAAGCTACTCCGAAAAGCTCGAAACGACGTCGCACGATGTGGATCCGTGGAGGTCGATCGGTGCTCGCATAGGAGGTATAAGACGATCGCTCAAGGAGTTGGTCGCCATTAACATATCGCGTACGATCGATCCTCCTTCACAAGTATAAAAGCCAACCCCCTGATCGATGTAAGGGGATGGACTTCTATACACATTCAACTCACTTTTATTCCACTCAATTCTAACTTAGCTTTTGGAGAGGTTTGAGTCAGAAAACCCCTTCCGACCTCGGCTTGTATGTAGGAGCTCAACGATGAAGAAGCAAGTCACTCGTTAAGGGAGAAGACCGTACTCGGGAAGATGAAGCTCAAACTCAACCCGACCCTACATTCGCTTCCACCACCCGAGCATCCACATAAGCAACCTTGCGCATTCGGAATTTAACCGAACCGTATTGACACATAAGACACAACGTAAAAGGTTCATTAACACTATGGAATAAGAATCATTTATAATTTTTTAAATTAAATTATTGATAAGCTGATTTAGGCTAAACTAGATCGATTCATCATACTTGACATGAATTCTTAAATAAGTAAATTATCTTTATGAGAAATAAATAGAAGATTGGGACCTCAACATAAACTAAGAATAAGACAAATGGCATCTTCGAAGAAACTCAACATTTACAGGGTTGGACATAGTATTGTTAGTGAGCAGAATGGTTGGAGGAACCGTTGGTCAGTGCATAGAGAAATAAAGTTGAAAGTTACCATTCCTTAATGTTGACCATGAGACACACTGAGTTGACCTGCATGGAAAGCTTAAGTCTAGTCAAAGTTCAAAGTGATTTTAGAATTGAACATTGATCGAAGAGGAGGAGAATTTAGACACTTTCTTATCTTGAAGCATAAAGCACGGAAATTTCATTGAAAATACTAGGAATTATCACCAGATTTCTCCAAGCTTGTTTGTCAAGTCATCACCACCTTTTTAAGAAGAGAGGTATAATGAATACAATTAATATTGAAAATTATTATGATGCAAGGATATAAGAATAATATATAAACTAATTGCAAAATCTCTTTTGGCTTATTAGACAAGGCTTAGGTAATTAAGGGAACCAATTTGATAGATGAACATGAATGTAATGTGTTCATAGGCGTGACATCGCCACGGCTTGCTCTCGTTGCGGCTCCACCTGGTGCTTAGCCTTGTACGGAAGCTGGGCCTCGGTGCACCCGGCTTTAGTCTTCGGCGGTCTCTCTGCTACCTTGTGGCGCTTCGCCATCTCCCTCAGCTGAAACTTTTGGATCTTTCCGGTGGAAGTCTTGGGCAGCTCGTCCACGAACACCACCTTCTTTGGCACCATGAAGTGCGACATGCTCCCCCGGCAGTACGCGATGATGTCCTCCTCCTTTATGCTCTGCTCTGCTCCTCCTCCGCATCCCTTCTTCAGCGTCACGAAGGCGCACGGCGTCTCGCCCCAGCGCGGGTGAGGCATCGCCACCACCGCCGCCTCCATTACCATGGGGTGCTTGTACAGAACCGTCTCCACCTCCACGCTGCTTATGTTCTCCCCGCCTGAGATGATCACGTCCTTGGACCGGTCCTTGATCTCCAGGTACCCGTCTGGGTGCACCACCGCGACGTCCCCGGTGAAGAACCACCCGTCCTTGAACGCCTCTGCTGTGTCCTTGTTGTTCTTGTAGTAGCCCTTCATGATGCTGCTTCCCCGGAGCACGATCTCTCCCGCCGACCTGCCGTCGCGCGGGACGCTGGCCATCGTCTTGGAGTCCTTCACGTCGACGTCCGCGAGCGTGAGCACGCTGATCCCCTGCCGCGCCTTGAGCGCCGCCCGCTCCTCGGGGTTTCTCCGGTCCCACTCCGCCCGCCACTCGCACACGAGCGCCGGCCCGGTCGCTTCGGTCAGCCCGTAGGCGTGCGTCACCTTGAACCCCATGCGCTCGATCTTTTCCAGCAACGGCGCTGGAGGCGGAGCGCCGCCGGTCAGCACCTGAACGGGAGAGGTAATGGGAGGCCGCTCGGACTGGCCGGTCTCGAGGAGGATGGTGAAGACGATGGGAGCGCAGCACATGTGGGTGACACGATGGTCGGCAATGGCGCGGTACATCTCGGCGGCCGACGTGTTGCGGATGCATACATTGATACCGCCACGGGCGGCGACGCCCCACGTGAAGGTCCACCCGTTGCAGTGGAACATGGGGAGGGACCAGAGATAAACAGGCTCGCTCCCGACGCCCCACTGGAGGAGCAGGCTGATGGCGCTGAGGTACGCGCCGCGGTGGCTATAGACAACCCCCTTGGGGGCGGACGTGGTGCCGGAGGTGTAGTTAAGGGCGATGGGATCCCACTCGTCGTCGAGCCGGGGTAGCTCGTGGAACGGGTGGCCGCCGGCGACGAGCTGCTCGTACTCCAGCTCCCCCAGCCGAGTGCCGGTCGGTGCATCGATGTCATCGATGACCACGACCAGTGGCAGCTGGGAAGTGTCGGCGTCGCCCAGCAGAAGCTTGAGGGCGCTTACAGCGAGGGGGACGTATTGGTAGTCGACGAAGAAGACCTTAGCCTCGGAGTGCTTAAGGATGGTGGCGATGTTCTTGCAGTCGAGACGAGTGTTTATGGTGTTGAGCACCGCGCCCGCCATGGGCACGGCGAAGTGCATCTCATACATGGCCGGAATGTTGGGTGCCAGGACAGAAACCTGCATATATAAACCACGTTAGAAACTAGGTGAGATCAACAGCACTCAAAGAACGATCGTTCTATACACACATACCACATCATTCTTGGAGATGCTCAGCTTCCGGAGGGAGGAAGCGAGGCGGCGGCAGCGCTCGTAAGTTTGCTTCCACGTGAAGCGCGTGCGCTCATAGACGACCGACGTGCGGTCGGAGTACACGGCGGCTGCCCTCTCCAAGAAGGTGATGGGGCTGAGGGGAACGTAATTAGCTGGGCACTTTCCTAGGCTATCCATCACTGGTTGTAGCTGTCGTGACAGAAGTTGGAGAGGGAAAAAAAGGATGCAGATGGAGATGACTTGGCAACAATGGGAATGGCGAACGCGAGTGAGTTCTTAGGGCCTTTATATAGAGAGAGAAGAGGGGAGTCTCTCCGCAATGAGCTCGACAACTTGTAGCGAACTTGTGGAGAAGTTGGAGGGGAAGCGCACGAGAAACCAACATGCCGGTCGAGGGTTTGAACGTGGACTGTTGACCAAACACTGCTACTGAATGACTCACCCACTGGTCATAAATATTCACATGACTTGCATGTTCATAGTCGAATAATCGACGACGATGGTCCTTTCAGAATCCAGCAACAAAGTAGATTAAACGAACGGGTTGCAGGTCAAGATGTTGTTCTTTCGTGCCTGCTGGCCATCCCCTTCTCTTTTCCTAGTGGTTGGAGTAGGTTTCATGGAAGAACGCATGCGAGCAGGAAGGATCACATCAAGGCAGCATTCAGCTTGCGTGGAAGAAAACAGGAAGTTTCAGAACTACTATTTCATGTTTGCAGACTGACTTGCCAAGGATGGAAATCATTAACTCAAGTTTTCCTGTCCAATCTTTCGTTTGACCATGGAAGAACAACCTATGCCTGTTTGAAGTCAAAACTTGGAGCGATGACACTGGTCGACCATTCAGCGGTCCTAAACGTTCACACGAGCTGAAAGAGCTTAGAACTCTAGGGGTTCGAGAACTTCCCATACGGAGGCAGAAACAGGTAGAATGGTTGGTCCTCAGTCCGTCATCCAAAACTCTTGATACCTATCTCCTTCCACCTCGTGTCTATCACCGCCAGCTGAGAGCTCATCGATGGAGTGCCGAGCATGTATATGTATCGATCCACATCGGGCTCGTCCTGATGAGCGAGTCTACACGCGTCGAATGCCACCACCACTGTAGCTCTCGGATTTTGTTTTTACTGGTGAGGCAATTGGAAATCCTGAATCGATGATATGTTTTTTGGAGTATAAATAAACTCGGAGGACAATAAACAAAAATTCGAGAAGATTTTTTGTGTAGTTTAAATTCTTAAAAATTTATTAGTGACAATAATAACTTACCCAAAAAACTTCCAAAAATCTAAAATACTTACATGCATGCCATTATGATTAATCTTCATCAATTAATCACTGTTGGCTAGTGATCAAAATCTTAAGAGATATTATTCATTCCTAATTCGATTAATCGAGACCCTAATTGATCTTAACTATGTTAGATGGATATTAGTATTAAAAAAAATATTGATACCTACAACCCCAACCCATATTATTAACATCTCTTATTATTTATAAGGGTTACTATTTATAACATTTCAATTATCAATAATATCCTTCTTCGCACAACTTTTTACTTTGTTCGTCGGAATCCTAGTTGTGTCGATGATGCTCATTCTCACCACTCTATCATGCAACACCATTGATGTTATTAGGCAAGCAAAGAAAAGAAGAATGAGTAGAAAAAAGAGGGCATTCACGTTCGTCTAACATCGTTTGACTTTGCTCGTCGTCGCTCATGATTAGGAAAAGAGAAAAAGAAAAAAAAGGAAGATTATAAGGGCATTTACTTTCTTTGCAGTAGACGTATCTTAGGAATATTAAAAAAAAAGATAATATTTTAAATAGTAAAAATAGGATTAAGAGTAGAAGTATCCTAAAATAAATAAATATAATTATCAGCAAATAAAAAGATAATACAAGCTATATCTTCTCAAATAACATTAAAAAAGAGAGGAGAAACCTCAATATGTGATGCAGCTCATCAATCCATCAACTCACGGGGATGAACTGTCACTTAGCCCGAGTTGGGACCATATGTTGGCCGGATAACATGAGCTCTCTCCATAGGAGACAGACGGAAGAGGACAAGAGCTTCCATCTCTTCGTTTCTTTTCTGATGTGATGATGTCGTATCAATCAAATCGAGTGTATATTCTTACGAAGTATGTGCTCATAAAATAATTAATTATAGTAAATTATAATGTTATAGTTAAATAAATGATAATTATTATTATGATTTTTTTGCAGGAACTCTACAAGCCGAGATTGATGGCACAAAGCTTCCCTTCACCTCCTTTGGATATCTTCTGGGACTGCATGCCGTGCATGTGATGGTGAGCCTTCACTGTCTGTGGAATGGGGGTTATGGCCCCCTCTCCCTTCTCTTTTTTTCTTTGCCTGCCTCACCCTTGTGGCTATCTTCGCTTCCAAGCAAAGAATTAAGAGGTCCCTTCAGATGTGGTCGTAGGAACGATGGATGGGACCAAAAACTCTCACTGTTAGCATTCGAACTTTAACACTGTTGGTTTCAATGGAGTTGTGCACTCATCATCATCATCATCATCTTTCTTTTATCTCTATTTCTTTCTCAGTCTTTGTCCCTTTCATTTCTCGGCAAATGCAATATAGCTTTTCCTCTTCTCCTTGTCTAATTATCATATATAATTAATTAAAATATACTATAGATCTAATTAGATTTTATTTATGATTATAAGTTATTAAAAAAAATTTCTTTATGATAAATTTTTTTACAAAAATTATTTTCTAAATGCTAAATCACTATAAACGATAGAATAGAAATAGATATTAAAAATGGATGTTATATAATCATAGGTGGTTTTGTCTATTTATTGAAAACATAATATCAAAATTTAATAAATATTTTTAAATTTTTATTTTAAAAAATAATCATTTTTTTTCTTCATAATATCGTATCTTTCTTTCACTTAATTCCAAAATATTCTCAAAATTGTCCAAAATAAGAAGAAGAAGAAGAAGAAGAAGAAGAAGAAGACAAGTAATTAAAATCAGAGAAGAAAGCGACAATATACATTAAAAGAGAATATAATTATTATCTTTCAACAGGACGTCGTTTGTACTTTCTCTCTCTTTCTTAGGACAGAATAAACAATTGTGGTACGAGAGACTGCTTTCGTCCCTGTTAGCTGATGGCATCTGTCACTGCTTTCCCTGTTCTACAAGGTAAGCTGTAAGCATCACACCAATTCCTGCCCACCGAATTATCTTAAGATGAAGAAAAAGTTTCTGCAAATGATAAAGAGTGATGACAACAATCCAACAAAGCCATGCACCATTCTTTATCCAAATCATTTACACCCTAAAAAGCTGACATGACAGACGTGTTTAATTATTTCTCAGCCTCTATATCAAGCTCAGGAAGACATGTCCCAAAAGACTAGCAGGATTAGGTCGGCTCTGAAAGCAGGCACCGGCAAGCTTGTTGCTGTCTGCTGTAACCATGGCCATGGCTTTCAAGATGGTAATACTATTACCGACGACATCATCTTGATGGATGATTACTTGTGCTTGAGTGTGATCTGCGTGGTCATGGCAGGCGACGGAGGGGATGCGGGTGAAACAGGAGTGCCTGAGCTCGTTCATGGAGATGAAGTGGAAGAGGGTGAGCCGGTACGTGGTGTACAAGATCGACGAGAAGACGAGAGAGGTGATGGTGGACAAGGTGGGCAGGCCCGGCGAAGGCTACGATGGCCTCGCCGCCTCCCTCCCCAACGACGACTGCCGCTACGCCGTCTTCGACTTCGACTTCGTCAGCGTCGACAACTGCCCCAAGAGAAAGATGTTCTTCATCACATGGTCTCCTCTCCTCCTCTTCTCTCTCTCTCTCTCTCTCTCTCTCTCTCTGATCTTAGAACATTATTTGCTGAGAATTTTTGGCTCAGATCTTAGCCTATATAGCCATATAGAAAGAGGACATTTAACTGAAAAGATACTGCGAGAAAGATCATCGAGTATCCTTATTTTCTCCTCCCCTGCATCACCAATGGAAAGCCTTCACAGAGTTTGACAAGCACATCAACTTGGTGTGTGTGTTCTTGGAATCATCCATCCCCATCCGAATAAGCCAAACAAGTCATACGTGGAAATGAGACTTAGCACCTATCCATCTTGCCAACCCTATGATCGTGATGTGCACCAAAACAAAGCATCATAGCTTTAGACTGCAACCATTCATGGCGATGCCTCTTATGCTTCGTCTTTTGATTCAGAGTGTGATTCATCCCACTTTTTCCTACACTCACCGACTGGTGATGTGGTCATGGAGTTTATACATGGCGTTCTGCTGGCTTTTCAGGTCTCCAGCAGCATCAAGGATCAGATCAAAGATACTGTATGCTACCTCAAAGCAAGGGCTGAGGAGGCTGCTTGATGGGATCCACTATGAGGTGCAGGCAACCGATCCTACGGAGATGGGGTTTGATGTAATCAAAGAGAGAGCCAACTGAGCAGATGAATGCATGGCCTCTCAATCTAGCTAGTAATATATATAGATAACCTTTAGCTCAGCCGAGCATAGCATATAGCACGAGCAAAGGGATGCAGAGCACCAGAACACGAGAAGCAGAGGCAGAGGAATCGAAGGGAAACAGCGCATCAGCAGCAGGACAAAGGAGAAGATCTCGATGTGCTGCACGGAAATTAACGCAAAAGATTTGATTGATGAAGACCCTTAGATGTTCCTTCGTGATCCGAACTCAGCCCAGGAAGAGTTCATGTTCAAATGGTTCCTGTCTTAAAAATGACAGCATCTATCTGCGTTGACGCACATTTCGGATCTTCCAAGTTATCGACACTTGTGTATGGTCAAATAAAAAAAATCAAAAAAATCTAATTCCATTATATTTATCAAAATAATAATAATAAAAATTAAAAATTATAACATTAATATCTTGTCTAATACATCAATGGCTCAAAATTAATACAGATCTAGCGTTCGAGCTCCTCACAGATCCGATGTCAATACACAAAAATATTCTATAAAAATCGATACTTATGTTAGTAGAGTTAAAGGATTGAAAAAGTAGAAATGTGTTGTATACTCAAAATTGTTTTTGAAGGACATGAGGAGTGCACATGAGGTTTTTTTATATAGGAAGCTCAAGCAACAATTGAAATTAAATGAAAAGTTAATGGTTATGTAGAATCATTAACCTTTATTTTGTTATGCAAGTATTCAGCATATATGCCTATGTTAATGAGGTGAGGAATTGATGTGTTGGGATGACTGCTTCTCTATGATGCAATTGAGTCGACATTGATGCAAGCATGATGTCAACCTAATATGTCGAGTTGATGAGTCAGTGATTGGGTGTGATGTAACGTTACATCATTCACGTGTTAGCCTCTCTTATTAAGGTGTCGGGATACAATGTCTTATGTTCTAAATAACTTAGTCACATCATGAGCAATAAATGTTATTATCATTTTGATTTGACGTAAGATTTATTTTTTTCAATTCAATTATATTAAAGATAAAGGATGTTTGATGATCGGATTAGATTATGTCATAATCGAAGGATACTTTAAGGTGAATTCGATCATCTCAAAATTATAAGATATTTTATGATCGAATTCGATTGAATCATAATTGAATAATTTTTTATAGTTAGATTCAACCATGCAAAAGTTAGAGGATGTTTTGATGGGATTCAACTATGTCAAAGTTGAAGGATATTTGATAGCATGATTTAGTATCATCGAAGTTAAAGAATGTTTCGTAGGGTTGCATTAAATTTGGAGGACTATTTCATAGTCTGATTGGTTACATCGGAGTGGAGAGATGATTCATGATTGGATTTAACTGCATTAGAGTTGGAAGACAATTAATGGAAGAGTTGGATGATGGGATAAAAAAGAGAATTTTGTATATGAATAAATATAAACATGTCGTAACATACAAGGAAATTAAATAAAAATCATAATTAAATAGGATATTAAGATTTATGTGAAAAACCCTTGCAAAATGAGATGGGTAAAAATCATAGGATAAGCTAGAGAAAATTTACTATACAAATAATGAATATACAAATCTCAAAGTCTCTAGCCCAAAACCCAAGTAACAATTACGAGAGAATAATTAAAATACAATGATTATGTCATGATGTATAATACCCAAAATCTCCCCAAGTGATCATAGTAAGAATTAACTATAAATCTGATCTAATCTGAGATGAAAACACTGTTTAGATGATTGAGAATAATTTTTGCGTTGGCTTCTTCACTTTCTTTTTTCTCTTATTTTTCTGCCCTCAACTACCACAGCTACTTCTTTCTTTTTCATAGCCACTGATTGCCTCCTTTTTCTTCCCTATCCATCACATATCTTAGTTAAAAAGGTTAGGGTTTAAGTTAAATAAAAAAAAAGAAAGCTAAAATGGGCTGTGGGTAATTAAACTCTACTATGGGCTGAATAATGGGCTATCTACCCAACAATCTCCCCCTTCAGCCTATAAGGGAGGTTGTCCTTTGACTCTTCAATGTGAAGTCATGCTGATCAATTTTTGGTATATCTCCTATCTTTATCAATTTTCGGTAAGGTCTTTATCAATATGTCTCCTCTATTGTCATCCATGTGAATTTTCTAAAATTGTAATTGATTTTCTTCAAATACATTTCAAATTAAGTTGTATCTGATATCTATATGCTTTGAATTGAAATGAAAAGTTTGGTTCTTACACAAATAGATGACGCTCTAGGTGTCACAATGCACTATATATATATTTTTTTATTTCAACCTCAATTCTTATAAGAATTATTTCATCCATAGCATTTCTTTGTAAACATCTGTAGCAACAATATATTCTACCTTTGTGGTAGAGAGCGCAATACACATTTGTAATATGGATTATCATGATATAGCTCCCCATGCAAAAATGAGTATAAAACATGATGTGGATTTTCTTGTATCAATATCTCTATATTTATGTAACTTGTTAACACAGGTGATCCACCTTTAAAGCTTAAACAAACCTTAGAGCTTCCTCTAAGATATCTAAAGATCTACTTCACCATTGCGAAAGTGCTCTTTACTTAGATTTGTAAGAAATCTACTAGTAACACTCACTACATATATGATGTCCAGCCTCATACATACTATCGCATACATTAAACTTTCAACTGTTGAAGCATAAGGAACCTTTTGCAGTATCTTCTTCTTTTTATCACTTAAGAAACTCTACTCTAAGCACAACTTGAAATGACCTGAAAGTGGAGAACCAATTGGCTTTGCATTGCTTATATTGAACATTTCTAATACCTTCTTGATGTATTTCTCGTGTGATAACTAAATCTTCTTATTTTTTCTGAAAAATCTACATGCCCAATATTTACTTTGTTAGCCTCATGTCCTTTATTTTAAAGACTAACTCAGTTCTTTCTTCAATCTGTCAATTGTAGACATATCTTTCCCAATTATAAGTATGTTATTAACATAAAGTAAGAGAATAATAAAATTCTCACTAAACCATTTAAACCATTTAATGTACACACAATAATCTCAAGCTATTCTTTTATATCTTGTTTCAATCATAAATGAATCAAACTTTCTGTACCACCATCTTGGAGTTTGCTTCATCCCATACAAGCTCTTCCTCAACTTGTAAACAAAATTTTCTTTACATTTTACTTTGAAGCATTCTAGTTGCTCCATATAAATTTCTTCATCCAAATCATTATGAAAGAAAGCTATCTTCACATCCAACCGTTTTACCTCCAAGTCCAAGCTAACAATAATACCAAGAGCAACACGAATAGAAGACAAAATAACAACAGGAGAAAAAATCTTTTCAAAGTCAATAATTTTATTTTGACCAAAGCCTTTCATAACCGCCTTGTACTTTTATAAAGAATAATATTCTTGAGTCTTCAACCTGAAAACCCATTTGTTCTTGAAGGCCTTCATTATCTTTGGTAGTTGTATTAAATCATATGTGTGATTATTCTATAGAGCATCCATCTTTTCCTATATAGCAACTAACAACTTTTTTTTTGTCATTTTCAACTGCTTCATAGTAATTCTCTGGTTCACCTATATCAGTAAGCATCACATACTCATTTGTAAAGTATCTTCTGGAAGGTTTACGTTATCTAGAAGATCTTCTCAATTGAGGTTCTATGGAAAGTTGCTCCCCAACTCTCTAGTTCACCTATATCAGTAAGTATCACATACTCATCTATAGAGTTTCTTTATTCCCTTTAGTAGTTGTATCAAATCATATGTGTGATTCTTCTGCAAAGCATCTATTTCTTACTGTATAGTAATTAATCACTTCTTTTTCTGCTCACTTTCAATTGTTTTTTGGTAACTTCATAGTTCACCTATATCAATAAGTATCACATATTCAGTATCTTCATTCTTTTGATAGTTGTATCAAATCATATACGTGTAATAAATATACGAATCTTAGAGTCTCCTGTCCAAAACCCAAGCAACAATCACAAGAATTAGAATACAAGGATTATAACATAATATCCAACGTTTAGAATGACATTAAATTGATGAGGTGATCGACAGAATGTGACATGATATCCAATCATTCACGTGTTAGAATTTTTGATAAAAATATATTTGAAAACACAATGGCTAAAACTTGATTATATTTTTTCTTTCATATAAGTATATAATTAAATATATTTCTCTAAAGTACAATATTCCTTTGGTTACCATACAAGGGATGTTAATTTAAATTTATGAAAAAAAAGTAAATTAAGCAAAAATAGAATGAACGAGAAACTTCTTATTGAAAAAAAAGATATATTTGTTAGAAATTTACAACCCTTATATAGATCGATTTCCAAGTAAGATAATAGGAAATGCAAAACTCAAATCAATAAAAAGTGTTTTAAAATAAAATAAGTACAACTATAAAAAAAAAGAAAAGAACTTCACTACGTTATTATTATTATTGAGGAAAGAATCTTCGCAACGAGAATTTTAGGTTTCCTAAAAAAGAAATACTAACAAACACATACAAAGCAAGCCACCGACTCCAACACCAATGAGCAAAGCCCAGCTTCGAGGCTCATCAAATGCCCTCATGATATCAGAATTCCACCTCCACAAACCCACGTGGACGGCTGAGCCCGGCCCACGCAGTGATAGACCGCGGTGGCAATCACGTGCGCTCTTGTGAGTCTCCCTCCAAAGTCGGTTCGTCAATCCACGTGGGCCCCGCCGGATCAGGGCTTGCGCGAGGCGACGCTTCGGCGAGGTGAAAACCGCGTGAGACCCACTCGAAATCCACCAGTAGGAGAACCCGCGACCGAGATGCGTTCGAGACCCGCGGGGCATCGTACCGCTATCCTAAATGGGCACGGCTCCCTCCTGCCTCTATAAATATCGTCATTACCCCCAACTCCCGTCAAGAATTTTCGCCGCGAGTTTTGGACGGCGGAACCCTAACCCTAGATTTCTTTTCTTCCCCTTCTCTGCTTTTCCCCCCACCTTGGCACGGTCCACCTTCGATCGCCGTCCCGCGCCTTTCGATCTCTCTAGGATCGCCGGGTCTCGCAGCTGTTTTGCGGTGATCCCAGTGCCCTCGACCGAGCTGCAAGGGCAGCGTGATGTCGCGGTGCTACCCGTTCCCGCAGCCGTTCATCGGAAAGCCGTTGATCGCGTCCATTAAGGTTTGTTGAGCATCAATGCTGGTGTGGTTGATTTCTTGCATTCTTGCTCGACTTCCTCTATCGGCGATCGGTTTATCGGATCTTTTTGGTCTGTATTCGACAAGGTCTATTATCGAATGAGCATGTGCAAAACTAATGGTATACATGTTTGTATTGGCATGTCAGAACGATCAGAAAAGAATTGTAAATACTCACAAAGAAGATTGGGCTGTTCTCTTGGTCAATAGCATGTTTAGGTTATCTTCTTCTTTGTTACTTTTTGGTGTTCTTACGGATAGGATTGAAGTTGGTTCTTCAATTTTCTGCATTGAGATGATTGTAGTCAAATGTGAGACTGTAAATTGGATCTGGAGGCCTTGATTGGGTGATCTCTTGTGAAAAAGCAAATAAATGTCAATTTCATAAGGCTTATAACAAACAAGTGCTAATAGTTAAAAGTGGGTTATTTGTGAGGATTCCTCATGTGTATATTGTGTGAATATTTTTATGATTGTAGTGATCCATCAAACTGGATTTGTGGATTTGTATTTATTCTGTTAGAAAGCAGTTAACACTTTTCACAGATGAATTGTTTGGTGACATTACTAGTGTCATGGATAGATATATTTGTCCGCGTTAATATTTTGAAATAATGGACAGTTTGAGAAAGTTTGTAGTATGTACACTTTCTATATCCCGTATTATTTGAATTTTCCAGCCATGGTATGAGTAACTTTAAAGTGAAGGTGTTGTCGATCATTTGCCAATGTGCAGTCAACATCATTCTTTCTTATATATTTGCAGATCATTCTTGTTAATATGGTGGTTTACATAACTTATTCGCAGAAGCTAAGCAGAAATTTCTAGGACCTAATTATCATACCTTTTCATTTAAAATGTGATTTGCTTGCTTGATCGCCTGATGAATGTTTCATGTATCATTTCATCATAACTAGTGCTGGTCCAAGCGTTATCTTTTGAATGGGAAACTATGATATAGAAAACTATGTTTGACAACCATGGTATGTTTGAGAGGCTTGTTGAGCTATATAAATACTTGGAATCTAGGATTAGGTCATGGAGATTTTAGTTTTTGAGATTTGAATACTTGCAAGTTATCTTGGACACAAGAAAATTTCTCTTTTTAGTTTTTTATTCTTTTTTTTTTGTTTATTGGTTTTTATACATTATTTTTTCTTTGCATATTAGCTTCTCCTCTTATCTTTTTTGCAGGTTGTTTACTTTATAATCTATAAGGTCAAGTTTTTTTTGGATGTCCAATTATTAATTCTTCATAAGTCGTGTCCTGTTTTTGTGACTGAATTATTTGTTGGTGTCCATTGCTAATGTCAACCTTATTCCAGCTTTTCTTGTTGTATTTTGGCATGATGAGCCTACCTTAGTGAGGAAAATAGGTTGGAAGATCACTGCTCACATGAAAATGGGTTTGAAATCGTTGTTTGTAGTCTCTTATCGGATGATATTATTGTTTGTCGTTGGTGGATTTCTTATGGAACCGCAGGGTGGATTTCTTTGTTCTTGTTGTATTTCGGCATGATTAGCCTACCTTTCTGAAGAGTATAGGTTGGAAGAACTCTGCTTACATAAGGATTTTTGTTACTCAGTGTAAATGGGCATCTTTACTTATTGTGAGCTATCATGCTATTGAGAAGCCTGTAGGATGTATTATCGGTCCCTCGATATCTATGTAATACATCTCTGCGATGTGTTTCGCCTTGCTTTGCTTGCCCGCTCTCTATATTCATGATATTGAAGACTATTGTTCTGGTGAAGCTCCAAGAAGGACAGACGACAAAGGATAAGAAAGAGAAAAAGAGGAAGAGAAAGGAGAAGATAGATAAGGCCAATGTAGAGCCTGTAAACTTTCAGTACCTTGGAAAGAGCCAAGAAAACAGCAAGTATGAAGAGAAGAGCCTCTTCAATCAGAAGGTCCGGGACAGCCAGAAGACAAGCAAGGATGCATTTGAACACATGGAAAGAAGTGTCCTCACTGAAGAACATGAGGTTCCATGTTCCATTCAGGACAAATACAACTCCCCTGAGAGCTCTCAGGATAGCAACAAGAGGAGAAAAGTTGCATCATCCGTATCCAGCCACAATAAGCATGGTAAGATTACTACTTGTTGCCTTTGTTGAGGTTTGTTTATAATTCAGATGCTGACATCTATTTTCCAACCCTTATAAAGGAACTATACTTCGGATCAAGTTGTCGTCCTCGAGGCAAAGAGATGCAGAGCTGCTTTTGTCATCATCAAGGCAAAGAAATCCACATCTGCCGTCCACACTACAAATAGCAGGAGTAACAACAGTAGTAGCACTTAACAAATCGGAGCAGATAGTTCATAAGCATCCTGCAGCTGATGAGCAGATAGTTCATAAGCATCCTGCAGCTGATGAGCAGCCCTGCTCCTCAGGCAGGGATATCGAAACTGGTCTTAACCAAGAAGCAGCTGTAACTTTGCATAGAACTTCCGGTTCAAAAAGGATTGGGGGAAGAACTTGGCAGAAGGAACAGTTTAGAGATCTAATAGTGAACTGGAATCCACCGTCATTGCAGCTGGAGTCTTGGGATGCTGGTGGTGAGGACTGGTTGTGTGGGGCTCCAAAGCGACACTCTAGTCTTTATGCAGATGAGGGCAAAGCTACACCAGAAGTCTCCTCGGTTAGTGTAAGCTATATGAGTTCTTCCCAGCAGCCCCGTGCCTGTTATCTTCCTGAGTTTGACATGTATCAGCTGCCATACGAAATCCCGTTCTGAGATCCAGGGACAGAGAATCTCAGAAGGTGGCAGCGTGCCAAACCTGGCAAATGCGAGTCTGAATCATGTGAAAGCTCAGACTGGGACCTGTAGGGCATGTCAAGCCTGGCAGATGCGAGTCTGTATCATGGCAATCTGAGACCGAAGGACCCTGACATGTAGAAAATCTCAGGAGGTACAGCATGTCAAGCTGAGATAAAGTGACCCGTGGAGAATCTCAGAAGGTAGCTGCATGTGAAGCCTTGCAAATGCGAATCTGTGTCATGGCAAGATCAGTTCGAGGGGCCTGTGGTGAATCTCAGAAGATAGCAACGAACGGCATGTCAAGCCAGGCAAATGTGTGTCCTGTATCATGTCAAGATGAGATGGATGGACGTGCAGATAATGTCAAAAGGTAGCAGGACGTCATCCCTGGCAAAAGCAAGTCTGTATCATGTCCAAAGCTGAGATCGAGGGACAGCAAAAATTTCAAAAGTTAGCAAGCAACATGGGGAATCTGTACCATGACAAGCCGGAGTTTTATTTTTTTTGACTCCATTGAGAATTAGAAATTGTTTTGATTTGTCGTCAACATAATTAAAAAGTAATTTGTAAAGTAAAGTTGCCATGTATACGAAACTGTTCATCAAGAGCTGTTTTGTGATTGCAAGAAATAAAACTATCTTGTGCTACAGATGACATCGTACAATTGATTTATTTTTTTGCCTCGTTGATGTTACACTTATTAATCTCGTAGCAACATCTGCTATCATCATCCCACCAAAGCTGGCTGCTGAAGAAGAGCGCACACAAGCTCACAAGACACTATTACCTCACAGGGAGGGACCTAATCGAAGCTGGACGAACGGCTCCATCTACCTCGCAGGTACTCTTCCCAGGAACCGACGTGACTCTGGCCGAAGCTAGTGACCGAAGCATCATCCTCCGCCTCCAGCGCCGCAAGGCCTTGATGCGACCCAATATCCGACGCTGGGTAGGCTTCGTCGTCCGGACAATCCACCATGGAATCTGCTTGCCTGCTTATCCACGTCTCCATGTCTTCTTCCCCCTGCAGAAGGCTGCGTATCTGCCATGGTAGCACACCCCCAAAAGAAACGGTCATCAGAGATCTAATGCACAGCAGTAAAGTAACTATATCCCCTTGCTGACCTTGTCAATTTGAGGTCGGAGACGAGCTACTCTTGTGATGCAAAGAGATGCAGCTAAAATCATCCTTCTCATCTGATCTTTGTCATAATTCGCGTCGAGATCGGGATCCAACAGGTCCATAAGATCTCCTCCTCCCTCAATAATTCGCGCCGCCTAGAAAAAGAATGCAGCAATGTTTGATAGAACAGGTGTTTGTCTACTATTGCTGCACAATCCTGTCACCGTACTCACCCACATCACCAAGCTCTCTTCTCCTTTGGGGTTTTCATCATCTATCCGCTTTCTTCCTGTTACCAATTCCAGCAGGACGACGCCGTAGGCGTAGACATCGATCTTGTTGCTGACCCTTCCATACATGAAGTACTCAGGTGCGATGTATCTGCAAAGTGAAAACGTCACATTCATCATCGTAATCATGCATATAACTCTGGCTGAGAAGAACGCACCCGAATGTTCCAACCACATCCCTCTGTGTCAGGTAGGCTGAGGTTGTCGGTGCCCACATAGCTAAGCCGAAATCAGATAGCTGTTGGCAGAAACTTCGTTCTTATCTTTAGTTAATTCCTGAGGGAAATCCACAGACATGATTGTGACCAGCTTTACCTGAGGCTCAAATTCATCGTTGAGAAGAATGTTTGAGGACTTGACATCTCTATGGATCACCGGTTGAGGACATCCATGATGAAGGTAGCTGAGAGCCTCGGCAATCCCCACCGCCACTTTAAATCTCTTGTCCCAGGGGAGCAGGTGCTTCACCTTATCACCTGCGTTCCATTTAATACACCTCAGAAGAAATCCATGAAGCTAAAACCGTGATCCACCTCACTTTGTAACATTGGTGAAACGAAAAGCCTGTGAGACTCACCATGTAATTTTTCCTCCAAGCTTCCATTGGGGAAATACTTGTACACGGAGATCAGAGTGGTTTCCTCGACGCAAATGCCCAACAACGAGACGACACGCGAGTGCTGGAGCTTGGTGATGATATGGACCTCCAGAAGGAAATCTTTTGATGCCTCTGTTGATAGTTTCGATAACTTGATAGCCACCTGATGGCCATTCTGAAGGCAGCCTCTGTATACACGGCTACTTCCTCCCTTCCCGATCAAATTTTCTGCTCAGAAATCGAAATCATGGTCAAAGGAGGACGAACTTAATCTAGGATAAGGATGCTGCCTATGTTTCAGAGAGAAGCACCTGAAGAGAACTGCTTGGTTGAACTCAGGAGTTCCTCGTATGCAAACCATTTGCAGCTCAAGTTACTGCTACTGAGAATTGTGTTCAACTCCTCGGTTAGCTGCAACGATGGCTGAGCCGATGACAAGGTTCTATCCGGCAGGGTCATGACCCATTGGACAACCGACATTTTCCGAGCTGGATCAGCCCTCTTGGCTTCGCCGGTTCTTCCTGGTTTTGCTCTCCGCAGCAGAGGCCAACCCAGCCTCGGCTCTGGCAGTTGCTTCACCAGCATCGTCACAGAAGTTGGAGTAGCTTTCGTCATTTGCTTCGTGACGTGGTTGCTGTCATTCGGCATCGCCTCCTCCTTGCCATCTCCAAATCCGGAATCAGATGATTTCAGTGTCTCTTTACCGGTCTTGTCCTTGGAATTTGCTGTGACTGGAGACAAAAGATTCTGCAAGCTTCGGCGCTTTGATTCTTCTCCTAAACCACAGCAAGAAGCCAATCTAAGAGATGGAATGCCATGATTTGCAATTCCAGCGACAGATGACTCACCTGGAGATGGTTTGGTAGCTCCCTTTTCAAAGATGATATTTCCATTTTGTACAGCAATCACAGCAGTAGCTGAAGGGAGCTTCTTGGCACAATACTTAGCAAGCGGAGCTGATCCCCTGAAAAGAAATGTATCAGACTTCGGATGGGTAGCTGCAGTCCAATCACTGCCCAAAGCTTGGAATTAGATCTTCGCAACACTTACCCTATGGAGCTGTGCTTGTTTACTCCGACGATTACCTTCATGGCTGCGCATAATTTGGCCTCCTTCACCAGGGCTTTCCGGATGGAATTCCCCCGAGCAACCCGGCCGACAAGAACAATCTGAAGGGCCATGGACAAGTACAAGGTTAAGCAATCCATCTCTTCTCTCTTCGTTGATCTGGAGATGATTCAGTGCACAGAAGTGGAAGATGGCTCACTTGCTTAAGACTGCAGGCGCCTTCATAGGCTGCCAGGTACTCATCTAACATGGTAATCAGAGACAGGGTGGTGATGGTGTTCCTCAGATCTGTAAGAAAAGTTGCGGTAGTAATCGAATGCTAGCGGACAGGGTGATGATGCTCTTGGGATCAAGAAAGCATGCGACTTGAAGCTCTAAATCTGTCACTCACCGGAGTCGCGGCAGACATGAACCGCCATGATGCGGTCGCCTTGCTCAGAAACTCTGTGAATTGCCCAGTCGAGCAATTCCTTGCCATTGGCATCCATCTGCAGACCCACCATTACGCACTGAGCTCCCCCTTTCTTCTCTTCCGAGGCTGCCTGCAACACCGCCATGCTCCGGCTCTTCTATTACTGCCTTCGGATGTATCGGAGACCCCTCAATTGGCCGCTGATTGCATTGCATTCAACGGTACCACCCAACGTGAGAGACTCCGACTCCCTGAAGAATCACAACGAGTAGAGCAATCAGTCACATTCTGTGTACCGTGTGTCGATTTTGCAGGAAATACTAGAAAAAGACTTCGTGCGGCGACACGATGAAGAACAGTCTCCCAACCATTGAGATCTCTCGCCAAGAACAACAGCACGCCCAACAAATAGGTGGAAGAAAGAGAACTGCCCACCCGTCTTCTCCCCCTCAAGCCTACCTTAATGTTGCTCATTTGTCGCATTCCAGGAGCGTCATTGTCTTAGCCATGGATCCCAGCTTAACACTCAACCAGATCCCCTTCATCAAGAGACCATATGAAGCCACACGAGGATGATGACCGAGCTTGGTCAGGCCACAGTTTTCCGGTACCAGAAAGGAGGAGGAGAGCAGAGAGAGCAAGACGGAGCTGAGAAGCGAGTAGAGGAAGCCATTAAAGAGCGTCTACCAGACAATTAGGAACCGCAGGGAGGAAGAAGAAGAAGAAGAAGAAGACGAGGATGGGGGAGGAGAGAAGAGGAAGTACTCCCGGGACTCGAGGACGATCGCCAGCCTCCAAAGTACACGCGCGCGCGCACACGCGCACACACGAGAGAGCGCTGCATCTCATTCGACGCCAGCGGTGAGGAGTACCCGGCACCTTTGTCGCGGGAAACACGAGATTGCCGGTCACCCGTCTCGACCGACACACCCGATCCTGGCTGCAGCAGGTGGCTGCCCAATGGCAAATCCTTTTTTTTTACTTCTTATCAGTATTTTTAATATTCCTATAATATTACTTTGTCAATAAAAATAAATATCCTCAATTTATCATTTAATTCTAATAAATTCCTTCAACTCTTTTCCAACAATCTTTTTTTCTTCTAATCCGAATCATAAAAATATTTTTTTATTATCAATGATCGAAAATAATTAATAATAAATAATCAAATAAGAAAGTGAGAAGTTTTTTTATATTTGTTAGATCAATTCGATAATTTTTTTTATAATTTATCATTTATATTTGTTAGATCAATTAGAAAAATGAACCTACTAAGATCATTGTTAGTGGCCAAATTGAAGGTTTATAGGCCTTGAAATTATGACAATGGGGCCCTTGATACATTAAATTTGTGGAATATGGTTCGATTGTTCCTATTGTATGTCACACTCACCTTAAAAATGTGGGGGATGTTTGCTGGGGTCGGTGCAACATTGGCAAGGGAATCTTGAGATGGGTGTAGGTGGTCAAGAAATCCTTCAAGAATGATACTTGTGGGGTTGGGAGCAATTCATTAAGTTCAACTATGGGGCTCTTTGATCCATGTGTTTGATGCACCCACCCTGGAAGCATAATAGCATGATTATGAGTAGGTCATCTGCACATCTAACAGAGGGGGAGGACAAGGAGTTATGAGTGCTTGGCGATTGACTAGTCACCACCAAGTAGGGTTTATGGGTTTAAAGAGGAACACCACTTCCAACCATATGTGTGGTGTCCCAATTACACTCTTTCTTGAATTAAAGCCACACAACAGCACAAGTACAAAGATCGCCAGATAGATGCTATGGTGACATCCAAGCATGCTCACATAACGGGCCTCAATGATTACCGACACGGTACAGTATATATATATATATATATATATATATATATATATATATATATATATATATATATATATATATATATATATATA